AACCGAATGTTGCGAATCATCAAGAGATAGATAAGACAGAAAATATCATATTGCCTCTATATAAATCCATGGTATGCCCACACCTTGAATACTGCGTGCAGGTGTGGTTGCCCCATCTCAAAATATATATATATTGGAATTGGAAAAGGTTCAGAAAAGGGCAACAAAAATAATTAGGGGTATAGAACGGCTTCCGTATGAGGAGAGGACTTTTCAGCTTGGAAAAGAGGCGACTAAGGGGGGATATGATAGAGGTCTATAAAATCATGAGTGGTATAGAGAAAGTAAATAAGGAAGTGTTATTTACTCCTTCTCATAATACAAGAACAAGGGGCCACCAAATGAAATTAATAGGTAGCAGGTTTAAAACAAACACAAGAAGGTATTTTTTCATGCAATGCACGGTCAACCTCTGGAACTCCTTGCCAGAGGGTGTTGTGAAGGCCAATACTATAACGGGGTTCAAAAGGGAGCTAGATGGATTCATGGAAGATAGCCTTTGACAGACCTATTAGCCAGGATGGGCAGGAATGGTGTCCCTAACCTCTGTTTGCCAGAAGCTGGGATTGGGTGACAGGGCATGGATCACTTGATGATAACCTGTCTGTGCATTTCCTTTGGGGCACCTGCCATTGGCCACTGTCAGAGGACAGGATACTGGGCTTGATGGACCTTTGGTCTGACCCAGTACAACCGTTCTTCTAACACTAAGCTGGGGGGAGAGGTAGATACGCTGGAGGGTAGGGATAGGGTCCAGAGTGACCTAGACAAATTGGAGGATTGGGCCAAAAGAAATCTGATGAGGTTCAACAAGGACAAGTGCAGAGCCCTGCACTTAGGACAGAAGAATCCCAGGCACTGCTACAGGCTGGGGACCGACTGGCTAAGCAGCAGTTCTGCAGAAAAGGTCCTGGGGATTACAGTGGATGAGAAGCTGGATATGAATCAGCAGTATGCGCTTGTTGCCAAGAAGGCCAATGGCATATTGGGCTGTATTAGTAGGAGCATTGCCAGCAGATTGAGGGAAGTGATTATTCCCCTCTATTTGGCACTGGTGAGGCCACACCTGGAGTACTGCGTCCAGTTTTGGACCCCCACACTACAGAAGGGACGTGGACAAATTGGAGAGAGTCTAGCGGAGGGCAACGAAAATGATTAAGGGGCTAGGACACATGACTTATGAGGAGAGGCTGCGGGAACTGGGGTTATTTAGTCTGCAGAAGAGAAGAGTGAGGGGGAATTTGATAGCAGCCTTCAATTACCTGAAGGGGGGGGTTCCAAAGAGGATGGAGCTCGGCTGTTCTCAGTGGTGGCAGATGACAGAACAAGGAGCAATGGTCTCAAGTTGCAGTGGGGGAGGTCTAGGTTGGATACTAGGAAACACTATTTCACTAGGAGGGTGGTGAAGCACTAGAATAGGTTATCTAGGAAGGTGGTGGAGGTTTTTAAGGCCTGGCTTGACAAAGCCCTGGCTGGGATGATTTAGTTGGTGTTGGTCCTGCTTCGAGCAGGGGATTGGACTAGATAACCTCCTGAGGTCTCTTCCAACCCTAATCTTCTATTTTCTTGAAAATGCCATCTCTTGCCCTGTTTTGGGTAGAGATTGTTTGCAGTGGTTTTGTAGCCATATTGGTCCCAGGATATTAAAGAGACAAGGTGGGTGAGGGCAATATCTTTTATTGGACCAACTTCTGTTGGCAAGAGAGACAAGCTTTTGAGCTTAGACAGAGCTCTTCTTCGGGTCTAGGGTAGAGACTAGAAGACCAGAGGGAACACGGGCTGTATTTATCACACATGAACGACAGACCAACTGGTGCCATTTAAAGCCAACATGATCAGGTTCTGTGGCTGATGCCTTAGTGCAACATTATTTTTAAAAACATAATGTGGGACTAAAGGGACTTCCTGGGCCACCAGGTCAAGTCCCTGTTATGGCAGGCAAACCTGACATGTAATCTTGTTCATAAACTGATCAAGCTCCATCTTAAAATCAGTCAGGTTTCTTGTCCCCACTGCTCCTAGTGGGAGGCTGTTCCAGAACTGCACTCCTCCAGAACTGGCTAGAAACCTGCTTCTCATTTCCAGCTTCAATTTATTTCTGGCCAGTTTATTCCCATTTGTTCTTGTACCAAATTCTTCAATAGCTCTTCTTCCTCCTTAGTGTAGCCCCTGATCTATTTATTAAACACAACCATGGCCCTTCTCAGCCCATGGTTTGCTAGGTTAAACAAACCAAGTTCTTAATATAGCCTCGCCATTCCCATGAGCATCCTAGCAGCCCTTCTCTGCACCTGGCCCAGTTTGGAAATTTAACAGTCCCAGTTCTAGTACAGCAGCTGGAATTCTGGTTCCTCCAGCAGCTGTTTATTAGGTGATTCAGACACTCAAGAGTTAGAGATGAAGACCTGCTGGATCATCTAGTCCCTCTCCCAGCGCAGAAATATTCCCTATGGCATGTGTACTTGCACTGTCCTCAGTCTCATTTTACAAGTCCCAAGCAAGAAGATGTTCACCACTTCCCTGAGGAGACTATTCTACAACACAATACATCCGGCAGTCAGGAAGATTTTCCTGATACTTGGACTCACACCACATTTACCACACTACAGAACTCCCCCCAGGGTCAGAATGCAGGGAAGTGGACAAGTTCTACTCAAATGCCATTCAGAAATCCATACCTACTCTGGGGTTATTTCTAAAAAAATCATCACTTAGTCAAAAGCTGACTTTAAAACTCATCTTTAGGCTTCATAGTGAATGATGAAGAGGCAGTTCACCTATTGGTGAATGAGTGGGAATCCAAAGTTCTAGCAACCAAAAAAAGCAATCAAGTGCATCCAGAAAGAGTTGTTCTTTCCAAATTCCCAATGCCTCTCGTTCATGGCTCCATTAGCCTCTTTAAGAAAAAAAATGCACTACTGTGGACAGGAGTTAGGACTTAGGGGATACAGAACGTTAAGTGATCCTGGCAGCTCTTTCCTTTCTGGAAAGGCGGTACAGAGTTTGCTCTCCTCCACACTTCTAATACCTCCCTAGTTTTCCATGTGATTTTTTACAAACTATAATTATCACTGATTCAGCGATTTCATTAGTTAGTTCCCTTGCACACGAAGACTCATGCAATTCAGGTCATCTGATGACCTGTATGGCCTCTATGACCAAGCTTAAGAGCAGCCGTTTAGGAAACAAGTTATTTTGGTAGGATCTTCCTTCTTTACCAAAAGATTATTTATATATCCGAAGATCTCAACAATAGAGACGGGGAAAAGTTCAGCCTGTCATTTTGGAGTCATGAGTTTCACCCCCACCCCCTTCTCAAGTGTTAGATAGGCCAACGTTCTCCCCTCACTGTGCCCCTGCCCTTCTGGCAACAGTCACTTGTTTCGCTAGCCTTAACTTTTTCCCACAAGCCTTAATGTCCACACATGTTTCACTATAGAAGTGTACATAAAAAGGCATAGATACGTTGCAGTTTAATAGGAGCCAATGTACAAGGAGGAGCGGCTCTCAGCATATGGCCATATTCGGTAAGAGAAAATGCTGCAAACAGTGGGGCCAATCACGTGAGATACTAAGTGCCTTCTACCCCCTTTATGTAGGATTGGATGGAACAGAGCACCTCACAGCACGGGACACGTTTGTTTAAAATTCGAGAGAACAGAGCAGTTCCTAGTCATTCCATTACTCTGGACTGGTCATTGACGGGCAGTCACAGAAATCAGAGACGGAAAAGCACAATTCGCTCAAATTGTCCATCTCCCACACGTGCAGGATCACTCCTTACCGTACCCACCGCCTTTTGACAACAGATTACATTGTACATTAGAAGAAGCTGTCAATGAATGGCCACAACACTGATCAACAGGAAAATGCCTCCTATGTTCTTAGTTCATGAGAAGAAAAATTAGCTTAAAAGGTAGTTTTTAAGAGGTCCTCTCAGCCTTTTCTATAAGCTTTTAATGGTTCCAATAAATGCCTAAATAAAGCAGCTCAGGATTTCTGAGGGGAGGGCCTAGCAGCTAATTCATCTTTCTAGAAGATGTTACAAATTAGATAGAGGGCTCTTCAGTCTAGCAGAGGATGGTAGAACTTAACATAATCCAATGTCTGGAAGTGGAAGCTGGGCAAATGCAGACCATAGGAATAAGAAGCAATTGTTAAAGTTTGTATTTATTTTTTTTTAACAGGGAGAGTAATTAACGGCTGGAACCACCTACCAAGGGCTGTGGTGGATTCTCCACCACTAGCAGTTTAAAAAAAAAAAAATCGAGTTGGACTATTTTTCTAAAAGATGTGCTTTGTTCAGCCACAACTATTGGGACTCCTAACAGGAATTAATTCAGGGAAGTTCGGTGGCCTGTGTTATGAAGGTCAGACTAGATGCTCAACACTGATCACTTCTGGCCTTAAAATCTATGATCTATCAGGAAGCACAGTTTAGAAATTTAGGGAGCTACTGAAAGATGTGTGTAAAGGCAGCAGAAATCGGCAAGAGAATCCTAGGCTTTGATGGTGGTTCATGTGTCAGCTGCTTATCTGGAGCAGATTCCATTGAAATGAGAATATTTCCATTTCAATATTTCCCTCAGACAAGCAACTGAGCCACAGAATGACTAATATGTTTCCAGTGTCACATGGGAGAAGCAGTGGAATTACTGCCTCCCTATGACCAAGTTCCCACTCAAGCCCGGCTGCGTGTACTGTATGCAGAGAAACAGGCAGGACAGGGAAGGAAAGATTCAGAGAATATTTCTCTCTCCCAGGACCAAGCACTTAAGCATGATGCAGGAAGGATGATCAAGAATCAGCACCCTAGTCCATAGGGATCACACTCAGGCAGGCCAGCCCATGCCCAGACCACAATTCTGCACACAAAATAAGGGAATTTCCCTAACCTGAACGAAAAAATGGGGGTGGGAGGGAGGAGTGCAGGGAGGTCTAGATCAATGACATCAGTTGTCATTGTAGCTTCATCCCAAAAACAATGGCATGGAAAATACCTCATCTGCAGAGTCGCCTAACTCCATTTTCTGCTTTTCCACTTCACTCGACAAGATCTCATTCAATTACACGTCATCTCTGCTCTGAGATTAGCAGGAGTCCTTCCCATCCGCCCACTCAACCTTGGGAAGAGCTTTATCTTCGTTCAAAAGAATTCTTTGGTTTGATTACTTTGGTCTATTCAAATGCTGGTCACTGTGCCTTCCACTTCAGGCCTGGAGAGTCAGCTATTCAGACTGAGATATCTGGGATTACTGGTGACCAGTACTGACCAGAGCTTTCACATTTACTACAGGAAGAAGATGCCACCATTAGTGCATTAAACAATCTGAAGACAACAACAACAACAAAATTTGCAATGACTTAGCCAGCTTTACACATTCCTGATGGGCATAAGAGCCTGGCAAGTCTCATCACTTCCCTTGTAACTTCCGAATAAAGTTTCCATTCACACACTGAAGTGAGAATGTTTCTAGCATCCAAGGACACTTTCAGGTATGTTATATGCCTATAAAATCATTCAAAGTGACACAAGAAATTCAAAAAGTGAAAAAATAAAACAAAGATGCAACAAAACAAGCAAAACCCACCACACTGGCATTTTGTCTCCTAGGAAAAGTCTGTTTTTTCACCACCCTGAATGCATCGGAGAGTGAAAAAGATCAGACATGCTAGAATGCAAGCGGGTCTTAGGCTGCTTTAGGGGTGATGCCGGTGTAAGATCCTTACTTAATGGAGTCTTGGCCCACCTGAGAGTCTGGTAAGGGTAACAATCCCCATAAAAAACGGAACATTTGCCAACAGTTCTCAGTAGATTTCCCTTGATACCCCACTTATGCAGAGTCTGAGTATCTCAGATACTGCTCTGTGGTGCAGGCAGGTAAGTACTGACGACTCAGTTTTCAGAGGTACTGAGCACCAGCAGCTCCCGTTGGCTTTGGTGGGATTTGTGGGTGCTTAGCATAGAGGAAGATAAGGCCTTTATGTGGGGGCAACGGAGGTGGGAAGAGATAGGGAACTAAGGCCCTGCTCTAGCCACTCACAGACACAACTTCAGCGTTAAACAGCCGAGGACTCTCGCCCTAGCTCCCCACCCCCAACATCCTCTTAGCATCTGATTCAGCATTTATGTCCCACAGCGCTGCCTCTGGAACAGCTGCCCCGCACAGAATGGCTAGAGACAAAATTGGCTTGAAGACGATTGTATTGTGGGAAGGAGGGAGAGAAGATGCTGTGTCCGAGAGGCTCCTCAAGGGTCAGTGTCTAAGGCAGGGATTATCTATTCCCTCATTAGCATAGAGATCTCCCTGAAAACAATCACACTGACTTCAGCCAGGGGGGAGCTTCAGCCCCAACACGGCAGGAGCCTGTTCAGCAATTTACCAGTCCCAGGTACTTTTATCCCAAACTGAGGGCAGCACCACAGGTGTGCCGAGAGCGGGGGAAAATGGACACATCCAGGGACATCTACTCTTCAAGATACAAGCTGACAGCTGTTTAATCTGCAGCTCCCTTTGGTCCCAAAGTGTCAAGATGACGAGACATGTAAACCCATCTAGCAGATTTCACAAGGCACACTAAGTAGGTCAACTCCGTGGGCTATTAGTAATGGATAAGGGACTCCCTAGGCAGGTAAGTTCTGAACAAACAGCATCGCGTCCTCATAACTTTCAGGGGCTGTGCTGGGCCAGAGCGTGGCAAGGAACTTGTGCTCTGTACTGAATAGGAAATTTCATCGCATGGGGACCTTTTTAGGCAGCATGAGACAGTTAAAAGCCATGTCCTCCTCTTGTTTCTGTTTAAGAAGAGCCAGGGAGAGGAAAGGGAGCAAGAAATCAGGAATAAGCGTTAGAGCTGCCAAAGCAGTGCCACGTAGCCACCAGTCACCAGGCTGTGCTTCTTAGCGCTGATCAGACACCGAGGAGGATCAGTGCTGCAGTACATAGAATTGACAAGTCTGTATGAACGATTAAGAACATACAGCAGAGGACTGTGTAAGTTCAGCTACAGATGTGACACTAGTGACTTGTACACGAGTGCCTCCCTAGCCAGGGAACTACTGTAGGCCATTGTAGCTTTTGGTTTCCTTCCCCCAGAGAATTAGTCTTCTGAACTGAGCAGCTTCTGTTCTTGCCTCAAACTGGTTTCACTTCTGCTTAAGAGAGAACTGACTTAGACATAAAACACAGTTCAAGAAAATCCTGCAAAGAGAAAGTAAAGACCTTTGGGGGAGGGGGCCGAGGAGAACGCAAGGCAGCTCCTAATGGAGGACGCACAGTGCCCTTTCGTGGAACTTGCTGCCCCTGCTCAATCTAGAATTCAGCTATTTTAGCGGAAAGAGTGGACAGTAGAGAGGGCTGAAGAGTTCAGAGAGGAAACTGCAGGCCCATGATGTGGTGAGCAACAGGAGTTAGGATCTCTCAGGCCTGTCAATCAAGGATCTCTCAATACAAGAGAGAACAAGAAAAACCTGACCCAGGCAAAGCATATGCAGGTCCTGTATTTGCTGGGCAAAGAGGGAACTGGAGCCAAGAGGCTTTGGGACGAACATCAACCCCGCATTTCTCTGTCTGGATGAGGAGCCAGATCCACAAATTGAGGAGATGCCGGAGCTCTATAAAGCCTGTGTACAAACACCAGACTGGGAACTCTGTCTATAACGAATTAATATGTGCTACATACACAAAACACCCTACTCCCCCAACACACTGCATCCAAGTCACTCGGGAGTCAAGTGCAGATTGCCGCAAAGACGTCCAGTGGCGGGGAATCATCAGAAGAAGCCACACTGTGGTTTGGGTAGGAGCGGATCCAAAGCCCAATAGAAAACTTTGCACTTATTCCATTTGGCTTCGGATCAGGCCTCCACAGCAGTGAGCCCAACCGATTTTGATCAGTCATTACAAGTGCATTGTACGCATGCAGTGCAGACTCCACATAGGAGAGCTAGACAACTGCTCATCTCCACAGTTGGAAATCCCTAATTCCTTTCCTCCACACAGAAACCAGATGACTTAATACAGCTTTGAAACTTTACTTTAAAAAAAAAAATGCATCGTTTTTCTTCTGCATAGTAGTTTACATTTAACACAGTGCTGTACTGGGTTTGTTTGTTTGGGGGGAAAGATTGTCTCTGCTGTGTACTTCCTGATTGTGTACTTCCGGTTCCAAATGAGAGGTGCGGTTGACTGGTCAGTTCGTAACTCTGGTGTTCATAACTCTGAGGTTCTACTGTAGAAACCTCAACATTAAATCGTGCAGTTGGAAAAGGAGCGAGACTCCAAAAAGACAAGTATTAGCAGCCTAAGGTTCCCAGTTCATAGAGGCTTTGCAAGGTTTTCCTCTCTTACATAACTCCTAATACTAACAAGTTCAACTCAGATGCCTACGTCACTCAGCATGACTAAACCTGCTATTTTAGCAGGCCAGCCTACACTCTTCCAACCATTTTAACTAGATCAAAAAAGTAGCACCTCATGAGTTTAGTATTTTGTTTGACGAGATCTCTTTGGGATCTTTTCGAATCTCACGGAGTTTCTGGCCTCAGTGATAGCCCATGGCAATGGAGTGCCACTGTTTAGCTGTGCACTGTGTGAAAGCGTATTTCCTTTGATCCGTTTTGAATTTGCTATCTTTTAATTTCATTGAATGTCTCCTTGTTCTTGTGTTACAAGACAGGGTGAACAAAAACTCCCAGTCTACCTTCTCTAGGTCATTGCTTATTTTATTGACTTATGTCCCCTCTTGTCTCATGTGTAAAAAGGTAACAATCAGTCATTTCAATCTCTCTTCATATTAGAGTTTTTCCTGGCCCGGAATCATTTTTGTTGCCTTCTCTAAACCCCCTCTAATTCTGCAATATCCATTTTGAGATGAAGTGACCAGTACGGCACTCAATACCCAGCTGGTGCTGCACCACTGATATACAGAAGGGCATTGCAATAGTTTTGCTATTATTCTGCAGCCTATTTCTTATGCATCCCAACATCTTGTTTGCTTTATTGACCGCAGCTTCTCACTAAGCAGAAGTCTCCATTGAGCTGTCCTAAATGACACCCACATCCTTTTTCTGAGTCAATACAACTACATAAAATAAGGTGTATAAATAGTTTATTGTTTTCCTTCCAATATGCATTACTTGGCATTTATCAAGGGAATGGACATCATGGGTAGTTAGGTTCCCCTATATTCCCCCACAGTTCTCTTTGGAATTGACTAATCTAAATAATCTTGTGCTATCTGCAAATTTTGCTTCCTCATTGTCCCCTTCTCCCCCATTTCCAGAACATTTATTCACGTGCACCCGCACAAACACATGCACCATTCAAAGGACATTAAGGTTGCTAAATCAAGCACTCAAAAGTTAGGAAATGCCAGAATTAAGGTTCCTGATGCAATCTTAATTTGGTCCCCCGTATGTCTGCATTATGGGACAGCCTTCAATTACAATTAATTGGTTCCAACCATTTCTCTCCACCAGAGCACAGAGAATGGTGATGGGTAACTGCTCCTCCTCCCCAAAGGGATTCCACAAGGATCCATACTATCCCACTCCCCTTCAATAGCTACGGGAGAGCACAGAGAGACGCATGGACTTAGCTGCCCCAGGATGCCAATAACACTCTACTACCGACCTCAACTGACGGAATCACCACCAACACTCAAGTGTCAGAATTCCAACAGGAAATTAGCTCTCCTATGAAGAGCAGCTGGCCCATGTTGAACCTAGGCACGACTGAAGCAATGCTGACTGGAAAGAGGAAACACTTTGAAGAGCTAGCCATATCTTCCATAGAAAGTGCACAGCTCCCATTTCTCAAAGTGGTGGGAAGTCTTGGGGTCCTGTTCGAATCCTCACTAATGTCAGGTGACCAGGTAGCATCAGTTTTCAAAAATGTCTCATGAACCTGGACACAGAGTTCCATGCATTTGTCACCTCCAAGCAAAGTTACTTTAACTCTCAGTGCCTCTCCTGGGGCAACTGGGACTAACTGAACAAGGATACTGGGAGTAGGGGGA